TTCCTTCTGCTAACTTTGGGGTTTTTTTGTTCTTCTTTCTCTAATTGTTTTAGGTGTAAGGTTAGGTTGTTTATTTGAGATTTTTCTTGTTTCCTGAGGTAGGATTGTTTTGTTATAAACTTCCCTCTTAGAACTGCTTTTGCTGCATCCCATAGGTTTTGGGTCATCGTGTCTTCATCGTCATTTGTTTCTAGTTATTTTTTTATTTCCTCAGTGATCTATTGGTTATTTAGTACTGTATTGTTTAGGCTCCATGTGTTTGTACTTTTACAGTTTTTTTCCTGTAACTGATATCTAGTCTCATAACGTTGTGTTCAGAAAAGATACTTGATACGATTTCAATTTTCTTAAATTTACCAAGGCTTGATTTGTGACCCAAGACATAATCTATCCTGGAGAATGTTCCATGAGCACTTGAGAATAAAGTGTATTCTGTTGTTTTTGGATGGAATGTCCTATAAATATCAATTAAATCCTTCTTGTTTAATGTGTCATTTAAAGCTTGTGTTTCCTTATTTATTTTCATTTTGGATGATCTGTCCTTTGGTGAAAGTGGGGTGTTAAAGTCCCCTACTATGATTGTGTTACATTGATTTCCCCTTTTATGGCTGTTAGCATTTGCCTTATGTATTGAGGCGCTCCTATGTTGGGTGCATAAATATTTACAATTGTTATATCTTCTTCTTGGATTGATCCCTTGATCATTATGTAGTATCCTTCTTTGTCTCTTGTAATAGACTTTATTTTAAAGTCTATTTTGTCTGATATGAGAATTGCTACTCCAGCTTTCTTTTGATTTCCATTTTCTTGGAATATCTTTTTCCATCCCCTCACTTTCAGTCTGTATGTGTCCCTAGGTCTGAAGTGGGTCTCTTGTAGACAGCATATATACGGGTCTCGTTTTGGTATCCATTCAGCCACTCTATGTCTTTTGTTTGGAGCATTTAATCCATTTACATTTAAGGCAATTATCAATATTTATATTCCTATTACCATTTTCTTAATTGTTTGGGGTTTGTTTTTATAGGTCTTTCCCTTCTCTTTTATTTCCTGCCTAGAGAAGTTCCTTTAGCATTTGTTGTAAAGCTGGTTTGGTGGTGCTGAATTCTCTTAACTTTCGTTTGTCTGTAATGGTTGTAATTTCTCCATCAAATCTGAATGAGGTCCTTGCCAGGTAGAGTAATCTTGATTGTTGTGCTTTCCCTTTCATCACTTTAAATATGTCCTGCCACTCCCTTCTGGCTTGCAGCTTCTGCTGAAAGATCAGCTGTTAACCTTATGGGGATTCCCTTGTATGTTATTTGTTGCTTTTCCCTTGCTGCTTTAATATTTTTTCTTTGTATTTAATTTTTGACAGCTTGATTAATATGTGTCTTGGCATGTTTCTCCTTGGATTTATCCTGTATGGGACTCTCTGTGTTTCCTGGACTATTTCCTTTCCCATATTAGGGAAGTTTTCAACTCTAATCTCTTCAAATATTTTCTCAGTCCCTTTCTTTTACTCTTCTTCTGGGACCCCTATAATTCGAATGTTGGTGTGTTTAATGTTGTCCCAGAGGCCTCTGAGACTGTCCTCAATATAGTTATTTCCACTATTTTATCTTCCAGGTCACTTATCTGTCTTCTGCCTCAGTTATTCTGCTATTGATTCCTTCTAGAGAATTTTTAATATCATTTATTGTGTTGTTGATCATTTTTTGTTTGTCCTCTAGTTCTTTTAGGTCCTTGTTAAACGTTTCTTGTATTTTCTCCATCCTATTTCCAAGATTTTGGATCATCTTTACGATCATTACTCTGAATTCTTTTTCAGGTAGACTGCCTATTTCCTCTTCATTTGTTTGGTCTGATGGGCTTTTACCTTGCTCCTTCATCTGCTGTGTGTTTCTCTGTCTTCTCATTTTGCTTAGCTTACTGTGTTTGGGGTCTCCTTTTCGCAGGCTGAAGGTTCGTAGTTCCCATTGTTTTTGGTTGCTGCCCCCAGTGTCTAAGCTTGGCTCAGTGGGTTGTGGAGGCTTCCTGGTGGAGGGGACTGGTGCCTGTGCTCTGGTGGATGAGGCTGGATCTTGTCTTTTTGGTGGGCAGGGCCACATTCAGTGGCGTGTTTTGGGGTGTCTGTGACCTTACTAAGATTTTTTGGCAGCCTCTCTGCTTATGGGTGGGGTTGCAATCCAGTCTTGCTAGTTGTTTGGCATAGGGTGTCTAGCACTGTAGCTTGCTGGTCGTTGAGTGGAGTTGGGTCTTAGTGTTGCAATGGAGATCTCTGGGAGAGATTTTGCCATTTGATATTATGTGGAGTCAGTTGGTCTCTGGTGGACCAATGTCCTGAACTCAGCTCTCCCACCTCAGAGGCACAGGCCTGACACCCGGCCGGAGCAACAAGACCCTGTCAACCATACAGTTCAGAAGAAAAAGGAGAAGAAAAGAAAAAAAGAAAGAAAGAAAAATAAATAAATAAGTAAAATAAAGGTATTAAAATAAAATATAAAAATTATTAAAAATTTAAAAAGTAAAAAGTAATAAAAAAGAAAGAAGAGAGAAACCAAACCTAAAAAGCAATCTTTCAGTGATAACAAGTGCTAAAATCTATACTAAGAAAAACAAACAAACAAACAAAAAAAACGGACAGACAGAACGCTAGGAGAAATTGTAAAAGCAAAGCTATACAGACAAAATCACACAAAGAAGCATACACATACACACTCACAAAAAGAGAAAAAGGAAAACAATATACATATCTATATATGGAAAAAAGGAAGAGAGCAACCAAATCAATAAACAAATATACCAATGACAATAAACTCTAAATATTAAACTAAGATAAGCATAAAACCAGAAACAAATTAGATGCAGAAAGCAAACCCCAAGTCCACAGTTGCTCCCAAAGTCCACCACCTCAATTTTGGAATGATTCATTGTCTATTTCGGTATTCCAGAGATGCAGGTACATGAAGTTGATTGTCAAGATTTAATCCGCTGCTCCTGAGGCTGCTGGGAGAGATTTCCCTTTCTCTTCTTTGTTCTCACAGCTCCTGGGGTTCAGCTCTGGATTTGGAACCGCCTCTGCGTGTAGGTTACCTGAGGGTGTCTGTTCTTCACTCAGACAGGACAGGGTTAAAGAAGCACCTGATTCGGGAGCTCTAGCTCACTCAGGTCAGGGGGAGGGAGGGGTATGGAATGAGGCATGAGCCTGTGGTGGCAGAGGCCGACATGATGTTGCAACAGCCTGAGGTGCGTCATGTGTTCTCCCGGGGAAGTTGTCCCTGGATCACGGGACCCTGGCAGTGGTGGGTTGCACAGGCTCTTGATAGGGGAGGTGTGGATAGTGACCTGTGCTTGCACACAGGCTTCTTGGTGGCTGAAGCCGCAGCCTTAGCATCTCATGCCCGTCTCTGGTGTCCATGCTGATAGCCGCAGCTCGCGCCCATCTCTGGAGCTCGTTTAGGGGGTCCTCTTAATCCTTTCTCCTTGCACACCCTGAAACAATGGTCTCTTGCCTCTTAGGCAGTTCCAGACTTTTTCCTGGACTCCCTCCTGGCTAGCCATGGCACACTAGACCCCTCAGGCTGTGTTCACGCCACCAACCCCAGTCCTCTCCCTGGGATCTGACCTCCAAAGCTGGAGCCTCAGCTCCCAGCCCCTGCCCGCCCCGGCGGGTGAGCACATAAGCCTCTCAGGCTGGTGAGTGCTGGTCGGCACTGACCCTCTGTGCAGGAATCTCTCCACTTTGCCCTCTACACCCCTGTTGCTGTGCTCCCCTCCGTGGCTCCAAAGCTTCTCCCCCACCCACCCCCCCATCTCCACCAGTGAAGGGTCTTCCTAGTATATGGAAATTTTCCTCCTTCACAGCTCCCTCCCAGAGGTGCAGGTCCCGCCCCTATTCTTTTGTCTCTGTTTTTTCTTTTTTCTTTTGCCCTACCCAGGTACATGGGGAGTTTCTTGCCTTTTGGGAAGTCTGAGGTCTTCTGCCAGCATTCAGTAGGTGTTCTATAGGAGTTGTTGCACATGTAGATGTATTTGTGGGGAGGAAGGTGATCTCCACGTCTTACTCCTCCACCATCTTGAAGGTAGTTACCATGTGTTTTTAAATGAAACCTGAGTGTCAGGTATTGTTCTAAGCACTTTTCTTCTATAGCTGCTTTAATTCTTACCATTCCAAGAGTGAGGAATCCTCCCCTTTTTACAATGAGGAAACTGAAGATTTATTTATTTTGCATCCTCGGCCCCAGCATGCTCCCTGTAGTGGATGGTGGAGCCGGAAAAGCCCAGCCTCACCTCTGCTCCTGGCTCCCCGGGGCCTTGCGGGCTCATTTCCATATAACATGATGTGATCTGTGCTGCCATGGTGGGTTACTGTTATGAAGTTCCAAGGCAGTATGCTTTCTGTGTTGTTCTTAACATAGATCCTCTCTGTGAATTTATTTTTGGTGATTTTTTAAAATGCCAGTTTCCTTCCAGAGTGGACGCTCTGTGGGGGCCAGGACACTGCCTACTTGGCTTACACCTGTATTTCCAATAACTAGAACAGTACTTGTCACCTGTTAGGAGCACAATACATTTTTTGATGAGTGGATGAGGAATGAATTGAGCAATATCAAGATATGGTAACATGATCTGCGTTTAACCTGGATCACAATGGTAGCCAACATCTTGTGAAATGAGGTTCTGGGGTAAGACCACACCCATTGAGAACTGGGAACTTTTCAACAATTATTCTTTGATTAGTAACTTAAATGGAAGAGCCCCAAACCTCCTTCAGCTTCTTTCCCTGCCCCAAGTGTTTCCATCTCTTCCTGCTGTAATGATTGGCAGTAACAGAATTGCATTGTTGATCACCACGCATCATTGTGGGAGAAATTTGAGGTTGCTTGCAGCTGTCTCTTAAGATAGCCTTTTAGAACCACGTTTAAGAAGCAGCTATTCAGCAACCACGACTTGCCTCCCTACTATGTGACACAGAGAGCATAGCTGTTGTAGATCACATCTCACTCAATGTTGTAGATCACATCTCACTCAATGTTGTAGATCACATCTCACTCAATCTCCAGATGAGAGAAAAATCATTATCCTTATTTTATAGATGAGGAAAACTAAGTCTCAGACTGATTATATAACCTGCCCAAGATCTTATAACTTTTAAGGGACAGAACGGGAGCTTGATTGTCCATGATACAATTAGAATCTTGAATACTAAGGTCAGAACATGATATTGATTCTGTGAAAAACTACCAAATGGAAAAGTTTATAAAGCTTGGCCACCTATGTTGATGACAGTAATCAAGAAACTATATACTGGTACCTGTACTGTTGAAAAACAGAACAAAGAAGAGAAACAGTAAGTTGCAGATGTCCTTAATGGTCAACCCAGGAGGCAAGGCTGTTGATAAGCCTGAAGCAGGCAGCTGTAAGACACGTGCTTATGGCGAGTGTTTAAAGATGGGACTAGCTTCTCCCTTGAGTATTTCTAAACCTAGAAGGAATAGAGAAGACTTCTTTACTGGGGTGTCTCTAAAGAGAATGCAAAAAACTTCAGTCTTTTTTGTTGTATCTCCCGCTAGAGGGTTAAAATCTGGCTTTTGGGTTTCATCCTGCAGTGGCTTCCCTTTCATTTGTGTTTATGTTAGACAAGCAAAGACTCTCAGTTACCTATTATCTCTCACGTTTAAAAACAGCCACCTCTTCTATTCTTATGTTGCAATTTAGAGCCAAAGAAGACTAAACACAAATGAAAAAGAAATAGTTTCTGGTATTAGATTTCTTGATTGTTTCAAAAACCAATATTATATTTTTAACAGAAAACCCAAAGGGACCCAGCTTGGTCCACAGCCACAGTCGCTGGGAAGAGTGGCCTTAGGATACAGAAGGAACAGTTGAAATCGTCATTAAATTCCCCCTGTGGAAGTGACCCACACATACATGGTTACACTGATGGCTTGATGGGTGTGTTTCCTCTTGGATCACTGGGTTTACAAAGATCTTAAGTTAGGACTCCTTTTCACAGTGGGTTTTGAAAAACTGGATTTCAGTGAACAGGAATGTTAATAGCAGGACTTGAAGCATCTCCTGCTAAGATGGGCCTGGTTGAAGTCACATTCATTATGAAGGATCACTTGCTTTTTTTTTTTGGATCCTCTGTTCGCTGGAATTTTGTCTGAGGTAGTTCCAAATTGAGATGGAAGGACCTCCCTGGCAGTCCAGTGGTTAAGAATCCACACTTCCACTGCAGGGTCCACAGGTTTGATCCCTGGTTGGGGAACTAAGATCCTGCATGCCAAAAAGAACAAATTGAGATGGAGAGCCACAAGAATACCTAAAGCAGTTCCTAAAATGGACCTCAACAAAGCCCACAAAAGGATTTATTGGGCATTATAAAATTCACGCTCCATGCAGAACTAAGTGCAATTTGACATTAAGTGTAACCAGTTGTATGCAAATATGCACAATGTCTTATATAATAATATGTAGGTAACAATATGTTCCTCCTAAGAACTTTCCATTCTTCCTCACTAAAACCAAAAACAACTTCAGGGAAATATAGTGAAAACGAAAAGTCTGGCTGATCTGGCCTGGCTTCCCCTCCTGGAGGGATTCTAACTCCACTCGCTCCATGCACTGCCTTCTCCAAGAAGTTGTTTCTGTTACCACACGCTGCCAACATCGGCCTGTTTTTTCTAGTTCTACCCACAGTTGTTCAAAGTTCACTTGGAGTACCTAGATTTTATCAACAACACTCTTAAGACAATCTTCTGCCTCACATACTCTCCAGTGTTGCCTAGACTGGGCATACTGATCATTATTCTGGAAAGGATTTCTCTTTCTGTTTGTTCCTAATTGCAACTCTGGAACTCTAATCCAGGGCCGTCGTATAGAAACAGAATGAGACGGACAAATATGAATCATATATGTATTCTCAAATTTTCTAGCAGCCACATTAAAAGGAGTAAAAAATTAATTTTACATATATATTAAAAATCATCAAACATTATTTCAGCATGTAATCAAGTTTCAAAAATCATTAATGAGGTCTTTCACATTCCTTTTTATTTTTCTCTGTTATACTATGTTTTGAAAATCTGGTGTGTGTTTCAGCCTTGTAGAACATCTGGATCTGGCCTCGTCCATTTGCATGTGTTCAAAGGGCACATGTGGCTAGTGGCTACCACATTGGACAGCCCAGCACAAATCTACTCTAGAGGCTTTGAGTTCTGGCCAGCTGGCTATAGTAAGAGAGATTTGCACCCTGCTCACATTTTGTTGGGATATATAACTTTCTGATTCAGATCAACCGGAAAATAACTTCCAACTCCCACTGAGGAGTTGTACCATGATAATCCCTCTGTATTAAACTCCACTGCCTCATCCACCCCAATCCCTTGTATTATTATTGTTGAATTCTTGCATTCATAGTTACCACGTTGAACACAATAACACAAAGAGTGCTTCCATTCCATAGCCTTCACTTCATAATGTTTTCCTGATGGTGGTTTTTTCCTAGGTAGGATGAGAATGTCAAGATAAAAAGATTCTTTTCCTTTACTCTTTCACTTGCTTCTTTTCCTTTCCTCCTCCTTTGTCTCCTGTGCCTTGAAGAGGTTGTCAAATTCCTGCTTCTGTGGTTTATGGGGTTTCATGCCCCTCCTCTTCCTGGAGATCCTTGTGTGCAGAACATCTAATAGGTCACCTCTGAGTGGCCTCTGTTCCAACTCCACTTGCACCAGCTTCAGGTCTCCAAGTAGAGGAGGAGAAGAGAGAACAAACAGGGACTCGGGACTGAAGGCAGTGGGCGTGAGGGGTGCCAGGAGGTAGGAAGCAGGGGCAGGAAACATCTTAAGGATGAAATAGGAGAAGAGAAAGAACTGAGAGCAGAGAAGCAGTTGAGTATGTGGGGAGCATAGACAATGGCTGACAGTTACAGGGGGAATGGTATTCTAAAGCTGGTGGGACCATCAAAATATACAAATTGTAAAGGTTAAGTGAAATGTTTATTTTTCTCTTTTCTCCTTAGTCAGCCTGACTGAATACGATGAACAGGAACACGGCACTAGCTGCAAACTAAAATTAGATGTTAGTTCGACTTCTCACTCACCGCATTAATGCACAGATGCCTCTTCCACATAAATTCCTTTCTCACCAGCCTCAGTCACCTTACACATCCTTCTCCAGAGCTGCATGTTAGAAAGGAAACACAGAACTTTCGTTCAGCTGGCTTGCCTCTGCAAGTCAGCACCTCATGGTGGAGGAGAAAACATCCCAGATTAGAACCGTCAGACCTGAGGTCAAGTCCGGGCTCCCCACCATCCTAGCACTACAACTTTGGGCAAGTCCATTTACCTCACCTGGGTAATAGTTTCCTTGTCTACCAAGGGGACGTGCACTTCTCTTTCTTACCTATGTCTCAGGAATTGGGGAGGAAAATAAAAAAGATGATGAATAAGGAAGAACTTAAGCTGTCTAAAGGCTTACACACAAGGATTAATATAACTATGTCTATGTTGGCCATTGCATCTGAACATTTGACAAGTTACTCCCAGTTTACAGTTAGGGAATGGAAGGCCCAGACAGGTAACACTGGCTCATCCAGAATCTCCCAGAGACCAATGACTTGAGATGAGAACCTAGTCCACCTCCGCTCAACCCCAGCCTGTATCCCCCAACCATGCTGTCTTTCTGGAGAAAACATTCCGCACCTAAACTACTCCAACATAAAGCCCATTCAGCCATCAAGAGAGAAAAAAACAAAGGTACTTTTCAGAATTTTTTTAAAAATCTGCCTTCAAACAATAACTCTTTGAAAGATTGATACCAAAATAATTTTCTCCCAAAATTTCTTTTTCTTCCCCACTACTTAGATATATTACTTGGTTACCACTTGTAAAAGCTGAGATACTTGGAATGTTTAGCCTGAAAAAGAATGACTGAAACAGGTGTCCTTGGGGTTTTTTCCTTTATTAAGTACACTCATAGCAAGAATATATGGATTTTTCACTTGCTAAATACTTCCACAAATATTTCTTTAATGAACTGATCTTCAGTGAAATAATCCGCTGAATGAAATAATTGGTTTTCAGTTCTCAGTTATGATTACATATACAAAGCCAGTGACTAAGTTTACATGCACGTTCACTGTGTACAAATACTACTTAAATTTTGTTCCTTGACCCTACTTGACAACATACAATAATGACAACATTGCTGAGCTTCAGAGCTGGTTCAAGCCTCAGAAATGCTTCCAGCACTGAGACCCTGGGCATATTACATTCCTCCTTGAACCTTAGTTTCATCATTCGTAAAGTGGAAATAATATCATCCGTGTCACATCATTCTTGAGAGAAATTAGATAAACAATTTATTTATGTAAGAGCTTTAGGAAATTCAAAGTCTTATAGAAAATAATTTTTTTTCATTACAGTTCTTTCAAGCTACAGCTGTATTAGGCAAGGATCATTTTTTCCTTGTGTCGATCACTGATAAGGCAGGAAAAAGGCCTATGATATTAAAAAGGGTTGGACTCTGAAAGGGTGGAAGAGTCATCCTAAGAAATATAGCCTATAATTCTCAGAATTAAAGGACCTTGGGGATCATCTAGTCTATCTCTTCATTTCTCAGCTAAGGAAACAGGGTGGGTGGTGTGGGGAAGGAGGGGCCTGGCTTTCAGCAGTGCAGGAATAAAAACCAAACCCAAAACAGAGAAGACGCTCCATGTTCTGCCTCTAGATGTTTCACCACATTCTGCTGCCTTATTTTATGAGGATCAAATACACATCCTCTGGGTGATGGAAGGTCACCTGTGGACGTATAACATCAGAGAGGTCACTCGGGGATGCTCAGAGACAGAAGGTTTACAATGGGCTCTGTAGTCAGACCTGCAATGTGGCTTCTCCTCTCCCAAATTCCCACCAGGTGTCAACTATCCTCTTCACAACCTCTGGTGATGGTACACGCAATGCCTGTCTATGCCATCCCGACCTACTTTTCAAACATATATTCTTCTTCTGAGTAGGATGTGCATCTACTGTAAGCCTCTGTCTACCCTCTCTCCTTTGTGGCTGAGACCCAAGCTGCTGGGGTAGAGCCACATCCAATCAATGTATTCATGACCATCAAACAAGTCATTACCAAATTAGTTACATCATTGAAGGTGTAATAGGAGTTCTGGAAGAAAAGTACTGGATGCCATGAATGAGTGTGATGGGGTGACTGAACACAGGCTGGTGGTTAGGATAGATTTCCTCAAGGCCATGGTGATAATCCGAGACCTGGAGGATCGGTAGACTTTGGACCAGTGAAGTTAGACAAATGTGAGGAGGAGGGTACCAGGCCAAGGCAATAGCTCTTGTGAAGGCCCTGAAAACAAAGGGCCCAGAGAAATCTGGAAAAGAAAGGAAGCCCATTGTTGGGGGAGCAAAGTGTAGAAGAGTGAGAGGGGAGAGAGAGATCAGGAAGGCCACCCCACACCAATGCAAATACTTTACAAGGTCTTCATCCTGTGTCTTTCAAGTTTATCTATAACTGCCCTGAAGTGGGTTGCCCAAAGAGAACTCAGGGGTTATAAACTTTAATTCTATGTCAGACTGCGCAGGTACAAATTCTGGATCTTCAAGTTACTAGTTGTGAGATCTTAGAGTAGTTTATGTATTTTTCTGAGAATCCCCATCTATAAGTGATAATAATAGTAGTCCTCACTCACAGTGTCTTGAGGATTAAGTGTATTATTTGTGTAAATAGACATAGGGGTTCTAGGACAGTGCCTGGCACATAATAAGTGCTATATAAAACTTTGTTATTAATATCATGGTCCAAGCCAGCAGCCTGACTCCTAGTTTCCCTCTACTTTTTGCTTCTGCGTCAGTTCAGGTCTTCTGGGAAGCAGATGGATTGGGCAGGGAGAGCTTTAGACTTCAGTGACCATCTAACAAAGTCTTAGAGAATCCACTGAGAGGCTCCAGAGCAAAGAATGCCTGCTTGAGGAATCTCGCCCTGGGCAGAAGTGGTCAGGCCCTAGTATGACTACTGTGTTTGGTAACCAGCCAGAGAAGAATGTCCAGGAAGAGTGTGGCTCCAAGGCTCTATACCTCACGGCTCACGGCCCAGCTCGTTCTTTAGGGGTGGTCCGAGGAGTGCACATATGGCTGCCACAGCTTTGGACTCACTGAATAGGTTCCCCCCACTCTCAGACTCTCCTTTGCATCTTCCAGACGCTCGGTTGCATTCCTCTGCTAACCCCTGGCTTTCCAGGTCTATTTGCCTCACCTAACTTCCTCACTGATGGGGCTCCTAACTCCACTGTTTCCATTGATGCTGCTTCAACTGAACCCTTTCTACCCTCAGCTGCACATGCTGCCTTAGTCTGTTATGGGAACCTAGGAAGCTTATCTTTTTGACTCTTGACAACCCTTTGGAGATCTGAAAATAATTATCTTGTGAAAATGGTGTCATAGAAGAGCACCAACACCAAGTAAAATTAAGTTTGAAAGCTGGTTCTACCATTTATTAACTGTGCAAACAATTAAATCTTACCCAACTGCAATTTCTCCATCTATAAAATGGAACTAATGCCTACCTTTCAGGGTTGTGGTAAGGATCGGATGAGATAATATATGTGACAGTTCCTAACACAGTGACTACCATATAACAAACGCTCAATAAATACTATTTTTCTTTCCTTTCTTCTTCTTGGCATCTTGTCTTCTCCAGATTAATCACCACTAGCTTCCTCCTGGCTTTCAGGGGCTCTTCTCATCTGCAACACTGGTTTTTAAAAGTTATAATCTATCTATAATAACATTAACTTTGCAAAATAGAATAAAGAGTCTACTCCACACTGCGGTGGTATAACCACCGTGAAAGAGATGATGCCTATCCACTAAAACCCAGCTTCAACGATTGCCCATTAAACCTACGATAATATTCAGCTCCTTAACCTGGCCTTTGTCATCTGGTTCCTTCTGCCTGGAATCCTCTTCCTCTCACACATCTCCTGGCTCTGCCCTTCAATTCTCATTCACTTCCCCAGAGAGGCTACTCTCACCTCCTAATCTAAATTAGCTCTCCATTATACCTGCACTCTGTTCTTCTCCCTTACAGAATTTATCACAATTTATAATTTTATACTCATTTCTACGGATACAATTGTTTAATGTATATTTTCCCTATAGACATTAAACTTCAAAAAGGCAGGAACTGTATCACATCTGGAACATCCAGCATAGAAAATCAATAATACTGTTAGATGAATGTATGATTTACCTCCCTCCATTCAAACCAAGATAGCATGCACATTTTTTTTGACAAATTCATCTCACTATCGATTCATATTCAGCTTCCTGTTCACCATAACTTCAAAGGCTTTTACACACCTGTTAGAGCTAACTCATCATGATCCATGTCGCTGTATATGTGCATGCATGAGCACACGCATGCATGTTTAACATGAACAAAGGCATGCATTTGAGTAAATAATGGGTGCTCAGGTCAACTGAATGGTGCAATATGTGTGTTTATGTGTGTGTAAAGATAAATCGGATATTGACAAAATCACCTGTGTCAAATGACAGCAGTATGACTTGAGAACATTGGAGAATATTTCATATGCAAAGATGGAGTGAAGGGGCAATGGTTTTATTCATAATCCGAGAAGTAGGGTCAAGCAACCAGGACCAGAGTAGGGAGATCATAAAGAAAATCCCAAAGCCATCATCCACGATGGGGCCTGGAACCCTGGGAACCAAGAAACTTGGTCTAAAGACCCAGAAACAGAAATGAAGCCTTATAGTCAGGCTTGAACTTGTGAATGACGGGGAGTCATTAAAGGTATTAGAGAGTGATGGAGAAAGATGTCACGGAGAATGTACCTAGTGAATGCAGAAGGGAGAAGCTGAGTGTGAGAGACTAGTTTGGCATTTATAGCAGCTGTCTATGCTGGAGGATGATGATAATTTTTGAGAAAAAGAATTAGTTCATTATTGGACAAATTATACAAAGCTCTTAGAGTGTGAGTGAACTGCAGGGCATGCTGATGACACAAACAGATGGAGAGATATACCATGCTCCTGGATTGGAAGAATCAATACTGTGAAAATAATTACACTACCCAAAGCAATCTACAGGTTCAATGCAATCCTATCAAATTACCAATTGCATTTTTCACAGAATTAGAACAAAAAAA